GTTTCTGCAAGTGTATACTAAACACTTGTCGTCATTGGTATTCACACACGTATCCATCTTTACATTTGATCACTGCAGATAAACTCCATAATCCATTACACCATATTATAATATAAATATTTATACGCTGTTGCRTGGGTATATAAAAATCTAATAAAACAGCCCAGAACGTTCGCAAAAATGGGATATTATTCTATTTAATTTTTTACACATTACGCACGCGCCATCAACYGTATTGCGATTTATAAGACGTGTGTGCGTGCTAATATAATCGGGCGATTAAATTTTCGTAGTCACGATCGTTTTTCTCCCTCATGAATTTTACGTTTTCTTGACGAACCCTCTCGTGCGAAATGTGGTTATTATTTTTCGCCGCATCATATATCGACATATGTTATAAGTATATGCGTGCAATGATCCGCATACATAAAATATACCAGATAAATGTATAATCTTGTTTTTTTTTTTCAAAGTACAGATACTCTTTTCATCAGATTTTTTTAAAGTTTTTTAAAACTATTTTTTTTCAAAAGTATTTATTTTCTGGTTAATACTTTGGTAATATAAGATACCTAGTATATTATGTAGGTTCTGTAAGGAGTGTCCTAGCTGTGGCGATACAAAAGGAAAAAGTTCATTTTTCCAAGTAAGAATCTTTTTACYTATTGTTAATTAGATAATTTTTTTTTAATACCTTGATGTATCTGAATCGAACGAGTGTGGTATTTGAGTTATGTTTAAATTTGGGTATAAATGATGATAAATGATTGGGTCCRTGATAATGGCATAATGGGTTTKGATTATTTGGAAGATATTATGCTAATATAATATATAACATGGTGAGAAATTATTTAAGTAATTAATATTTATCTTTCTATACATTTTATATTAGACGATTTAAAATCGGTTGTTAAGACGCAAACGTAAAAAACCGTGGCCGTTAAACGTTCTCAGACCCTACGGTCAAAATATCACAGTGTGGCCGGACTCTAAGGCTTAAATTATATGAAAAAAATCTTAATATTTGAAAATACAATTCTTCGGTAAATACACAACTAAACATATGGTGCAGTAGGCCTAGTGCAGTGGTCAATAAATGCCATTGTTGTGCGACGTTGTATATAGTAGAGTGTCGGCGCGATACGCATTCGGTATATGGAATTAAAAGCCAAGCACTAAACCGGAAGTGCCAGGAAACGTATACGTATTATATAAATGTTCAAAAATTATTGTGTCGGGGTTCGGCCTCGCGGAAAGTGTGACTTTCGTGTGGATTTTTCTGCCGCCGCTTCCGGAAATGRCGTTGTCGTTTCGGCTGCAGTGACGGTAAATCACACGACGAAGGTCTGGTCGCCCGTGTTACCGGAAACGCRTGTTTTGCGCTCGAAACTCTCTGAGTGGCGGGTATGTCGTATCCGGGGAAAACTTTTCCGTATAGGTACACGATTTATAGGACAAAACGAAAGCGACGACCGCGGCGTTACCACAGGTACGTTATAGATTCATAGACCTCCCATCGAGTTTTATTCCTAGCATTATATTGTACCCATATTGGCAGGTACTCTTTTAAATATCACAAAGTCGAATTACCAAAAGCGAAAAAGCGACCCGACGAGTTTTTTTTACCAATATTTTTCATGAACTATAGTCGTCGATATTCGTTATGTTTTGAGRACAGCGAGTATGTCTTGTACCAACGAACACTCGGTATTTGGTATTCGATATTCGTATTTCACCACATTTCTGTTGTGTCCATACGGATCGTCACGRTGACACACACGAGTCTAAGGAATATAAAAATATTTTAATAGATTGGCAAAACACATCACGAATTATGGGAACCTTCCTTTTTTGATACGACCAAGTATTGAAAAAAAAGGCGATCGACGAGTTGGGTCGACCACTCTAACACCTGAACACAGTAATGGTAACAATCAATAATTAT